CATTCCCTCTTTACGGTGACAACTGTTTTGACCCTTGAGGTGTTAAAAGAAAAGAGACCAATTCCCGAAGTTGATAAATAAACCTCAGCCATAGCTAAAGTACCGATAACTGATGTAATGTTTTTCTCAAATTTTATGAAAGAAATTGGGACAATGTGTATTAGTGAAAAAACTTCGTCTTCTCTGCTTAAACTCCCCTCCTCCCCTTTGTCATCAGCCGTTACTTTTTCCTTGACCCCCTCCTCCTAAAACCCCCTTACATAATATATGCACGGCCCCCTGGCTGATTTCCAACTAGAACGTATCCATCAAATTACAATCGTCGCCAGTCTCAACTCTGAACCCTGCAATACTTGGGTAGAATCTATTATTTGGTTCATTATCAACCATAATGTCTACACCATCCTACTGCTCATACAAATGTCTTTTGTTGACAGCTAACACAGAACACAGAAAGCACTCTGCTACATGTCCGCTCTAGTTACCTTCTAGATTAAAATAAAACCAATGAAACCAGATTATTTTGTAAGGACCTATGACCTTTCAGTTAATGATTTTCCATTGAAAAAATTTGGTAATCTGCAATTTTTAAGCATGTGTATAATATTCTCTCCAGATATTTACCATTAAAGTAACTGAAATTGAAAAGTCATAAGGTTCACTGTCATTAGGACCTGTTTAGTATGAATTAGAACATCCCTTTATTACAAAACAAACAATACAATTCAGTTTTAAAAATGCAGTTCCTTAATTTGTTCCATGAACTATGAATTTCTCTACATTTTTATTTGTATTCTTTTCAAAAGTCCTATTCCTTTTACTAAATGAATCATCTGATAATCTAAAACTCTTACCTCTTTACTATCAGATCTAATGGATCTTACATAATCTGATTTCAGCATTATCACAGTTATCACTGTTTTCAGGTCACCTTCTACAAGGTTTCATACAACTTTCATGAACAAAAATAAAAAAACAACAAAAAACCAAAGTGGCAAACTATAATCTAGGAACAATCGGCACCAAATTATAAATAACCTTTTCCTTGTAAACCCTGCTTTCCGGTTTCCATCATATGTAAAAGTTACTTATGTACAATGTTTACTACAATGATAATTCTTGACAACTATTGAAAAGAGTAAAAGTTTATTTCCTCAGTTATGTGGTCGTACATTAGGAGTGAGACCAGTAAGATTGAAATTCAGTGGTTTTTGAGATTTAATTTTTGCTCAGACTGAAACAGGAAAAAAACATAGTAAATGCAAAAGAAAATCAATTCTTTTCATGGACTTAACCAAGCTCACTCTTTTAGAGAAACACCTGCATCTATGGAGCTATTACAAAAGATTTTTAAAAAATTCAACTTTTTTGAGGGCAGCCACTTTATTTAGGCTGAAGTTGTACATTTGCTGTAAGAATTGTCATTGTTGTTTCTTTTTAATTATTGGAATCACTTTGACACAAAATATACACATAGTATCACTATCCGGGCTACCATACATGTCTTATAGTATTATTATTTGGCAAGAGTAAGATTAAGCCTCCTGGTGCCCTATTTTCCTGTCCCAATCAAACAGACACTCCCTTGCCATCCCAGAATAGATTAAAGTCAAGAGTCTGAATTAATTAAAAAAGGAAAAACAAAATGTGGTTTTTAAAAAGTTAAAAGGAGATAAGTAGGTGATTAAACTTCATTAATGTAGTGGTTTTTGAACAGATAATTGGAACCTATTGCCACATAATTTCGTGTTATGCTTTAACGGATTTTATCTGATTTTTACGGAAATTATTGCTTTAAATCAGAAGACAGTAAATTTAGGGCTCAGTTTGTGTAGTTAGCATTGGGACAAGTCAACTAAATATTTGATTAGAATGATTGGGAAAAGTCTTGTACATTAATCTATTTGACTAAAATAGCACTTTTTGCTTGCTCCACCACTCTTACTCAATTGTAAAAAGCCTTACTGGGGTTTGTTATGATCATTGCCTCAACGGGAAAAGTAGACTTATAATCACAACACATCAAAGTTGGGCTTACAATTTATGTTTTGAGCAATTTAAAAAGGATGTGAGGCTTGATGACTCGTCTAAGAGACTTCATTTGATTTAATAATTGAGCCTACTTCACCTGCTATAGTAACCCTAAATCTCATTGCATTCGCAACTTAATTGTAATAAGATATTTATATCACATAACTAACCAGTTTCTTACTCTCTCATGTGGATAAGTCTGCGCTTCCCGGCGCTTCATCAAAAGAATTATGACAAAAAATAATTATTATAAAGCACCATTTTGATAATCTCACAAATAGAGTAACAATAAAACAATTTTGTTGAAAATAACAGAGACTATTTGTTCACATGCTTGAGACCAGCTCGAGCAGTTGGAATAATATTTCTGTGCTGAAGCTTCAGACTTTAATTCATGTAAGCAACCATCCTTGCTTAGATGCAGGGAAAAAAACTTAATATCACAAAACGGAGTGGCTAGCAAAACTTATCTTGCCACAGCCAAATGCAGCAAGCCATCAGAAACAGACATGTTTCTTTTGCAACTCATGGCACCATTCCCCAAGGCTCGTCTTCGAAGTCCCACACAGCTGTTTTGTCGGATAACACTCTTTGGTAGAGAACGCAACCTGTAGGCCGAACTATCTATCACTGCTAGCCCTCGAAGTGCTTAAAATGTCTATAATTGCACCCTTGAACGCTGCAGCGGCTCCCCTCCCCGAATCCCCTCCCCACCAGCGAAGATTTAGCTCTCAACAAGAGTTCGTGCCAGCTCTCAGCTGACGGGAGATTTCAAGAAACTTTTCCATGGGGAAGCACGGGGTGCCTCGAGGATCTTGATTGAGGTTTTGCCTCGCCGCTTCCTACGTCCTGGCGTTGTCGCGGGCAAAAGCAACGTTGTCGTACACAAAGTGTGAGATAATGTGCCCGTTGCCGTTGAGGCAGTCCAACTTGACACCCTCTGTGAAGTCGCTGGAGGACCGCTCTTCGTCGATCACCTTGCAGCCGTCCTCCCGCGGGCACCACATGGGGCTAGCGCTGAACAGATCTTTGCCCACCTGCGACAGGAGTCAAGAGTTATTAATGGGAAAGACTGGGCAACAGACGGAGACGTAATACCAGCGTGCCTTTTTATCAGAAGAAAAAGAAAAGAAACACGGCATTGGCATTGCAATTGTTTGCAAATGATGCAGTAGTTTTCACCCACCTCTTTGCCGTAGATGATACGATACACAGCAAATATCGGGAAGGGCAGCAGCGTGGAGATTGAGATGAGCCAGCCGATGATGTCGGCCCAGAATGGGAATGAGTAGTTGCCGTAGGCCGCCGGGACGTACTGGCTCATGACGAACACGAACACGGCCTGGTGAAGTAAATGTTTTCCATGAGTTAAACCAGCTCTTTTCAACTACAGGTACTCTTTGTACTCATTAATTTTATCATCTAAAAAAATCTCAAGGTTTCGGATTGTTGAATTTTTAAGTATTGCGATATCATGAATGGAAATCAAAGTGGCATTCCCTCGAGTGCCGTGCACTAGTTCAGTGTGCTTTCATGCGAGCAGCTCGGGTATCTGACGGGTTAAGCGACGCTGATGGTGCTCTTAAATACCCTGATGAAGTATTTACTGCGTTTTTTACTGTGTGCATGAAATACTGGAAACCTTGCCATAAGTACACACGCATCGTACACGGGCTATAAGCCGAAGTGTACACCTGGAAAGGCATTCAGTACATAGTGCTCACATATGGGGTATGCAGTGAATACATGTGTACTTGGGTGGTTTCCATAGTAGCGCCTGCGACACGCTGGGTAGGCCACCCCGCCAAGCAGCCATGTGAAGTTGGTGGCCCGCCCGCCCAGAGCGCTATAGTGCGGGGTGCCGGGGCTCCGGTGACCCACAATGGGGCGTTCATTGTATGGTCCGGTGCTCCAACATAACACGTCTTGTGTTGCCGGTCGTTGTCGGTCAACAACCCTTTTCCGCTCCTTTCCACCCCAGCGACCATTGCTAGTACTCACAAGAGAGATGATGGGGGAGGCGAATACCCATACGAAGCGCCAATACGCTCGAATAGGGGCGTAGAACTTGATGCCCATCTGGTCGAGGTTCTCCAAGAAGCGGTCGCAGCCTGCACAAGCCAAGAAAATGAAACATCAGTCAATCATGTGATGCACAGCCGTCGACTCTCGGTCGAGTAAAGTAACCCGAGCACTCACCGTACACCCACGAAACCACGATGATCTCGGCAAAGCCGATGAGCAGGATGGCCCAGGATGCCGTGTTCCAGTCCAGCAGGGTGAACATGTACACGCCGCCGGAGTAGCACATGGGGATCTCCATCAAGAAGCAGCCCAGGCAGGCGCCCAGCGTCACAAGCCACTGCTTGCTGCTCAGCTGCGGCCACTTGTCGATGACGGCGGTGGTGATGGCCTGCACCCCGGCGAACTGTAAGAGAAGGAGGCGTGGTGAGCATGTTGGAGAGGGTGGCGCAATGTGCAGCCGCTCTCGCGTCCACCACCTACCTGACTCCCCAGGCCGAGGATGAAGAGCATGAAGAAGAAGAGGACCGCCCAGACCTGAGGGGCCGGCATCCGGAGGATGGCTTCGGGGTACACGATGAAAGCGAGTCCGGGGCCCGAGTCCACGACGTCCGTGACGTCTACCCCCTGCTGGTTGGCGAGGAAGCCCATGACGGTGAACACGGCGAATCCCGCGAACACGGCCGTGCCCAAGTTGGCCACGGACACGATGAGGGCGTCGCTGCAAAGGTAGGAAGGTCAGCAGTTATTCAAAACCATCCCCAATTATTGTAAAAGCCCCCCTTTCCGCTTCTGTTGTCATACTAACGTGTGGCAGTTGTTGGTGAACTTGCTGTACGAGGAGAGGGTGATGAGAGAGCCGCAGCCGATGCCGAACGAGTAAAAGACCTGAGAGGCCGCGTCGCCCCACACCCCCGCGTTCAGCAGCGTCTCCCAGCGGGGCGTGATGTAGTACGCCACGCCCTCGTACGCGCCGGGCAGAGTCGCGCCTGCAACCGAGTCAAGTGCGAGTTTGAAATCTCCCGCCAATATGGGCCCAGCTGGGGGGCGAAGGCATGTGGAGGCTGCAGTCGGGTTGTGGGAAACACTTGTCTGTCACTGACTCCCGCCCGCTGCGCGTCTAGCTGCGCGCGGCCCGCTGTGGACGTCACGCCGAGCGCCACGACACCACGGGCGCCACGCAGCAGCCCAGCGCCGCGCCCCCCCCGGCCGCCCCGGGTGCGCCGAGCTGTGAAATGGAGCCTGCTCAGTGCTCCCGCTCGCTCCCACCCGCGCCCGCGCCCCGCACCCTTGTGGACTCACCCCGGCACAGCAGGATGGTGAGCAGCACGATGGGGAAGATGGTAGTGAAGTAGGCGGCCTTGCCCGAGCTCTGGACGCCGCGCGCCAGGCAGCCGTACAGCACGATCCACGACAGGAACAGGTACGCGCACATGGTCCAGTGGAAGTCGCCCCAGTTCTCCCACGTGGCCCCCTGCCTCCCCAGCACGTAGTCACTGCAGGGTTGGACAAGGACAGTGTTGAAACATTTAACACAATTTAATGCCATGAAACTTGAAGCCCACTAATGTCGACATGAGTCGGGTCTTACATTATAATAAATCATTAAGTGCGATGTATATGCGGTGGCCGAAGTTAATGTCTTACTTGTAGTACTCCTCCGAGGCCAGGACGCGGTTCAGGAGGGTCTTGAGCGACACGTCCGTGCCGTTCAGCCCGCAGTGCGTGGAGTTGATGGCGTGCATGTCGAAGCCCTTGCACAGGCTCTCGATCGGCTGGCAGGTCTTGTTGTAGTACGTGAGCAGGTCCTGCGGCTGCTGGCTGGTTGAGTTCGCGAGGCACTCGGAGTTGGCGCTCTCGCTGAAGCAGCCTGGTGGCAGGAGAGCGGCGCACGCTTGAGACGAAGCCCCTCGACAGTTGAGCGAACTTGATGCAGCGAAGTTGGTACTCACGTGGGGAGTTGAAGTCGTGCTTGCACGAGCCCCAGCCCAGCTCGTAGCTGAACGAGTTGAAGATGTAGAACAGCGCCCAGGCCACGATCACCTGGTAGTAGACGGTGATGAGCGTGATGACGACCAGCGTGCAATAGCCGAGACCTGCAACAATCGGACAAATCGTAGTTAGTTGCCCGTGAATACACATATCCCGAACTTGTCCTCAATAGAAGGTCGCAC